CCCCAAGTGAGGCAGGAGGCTTTCCCAACTAGCCAGAATGTCTACAGGGATCCACCACAGGGCTAGAAGAAAGCTGTCTTCAAGCATATAATACCTTGGTCCCCAGACCTAAACCCCACTAACTGCAATGAACTGCCCCAGTCTGTCTGTTGTGTGTGTGTGTGTGTGTGTGTGTGTGTGTGTGTGTGTTGCTGAGGTCAGGGGTCAACCTTGACTATCATTCCTCGAGCGCCATCCATCTTTTTGTTGTTGTTGTCTGTTTTGTTCTGTGGTTTTTATTTTAGATACGGTCTCTTGCTGACCTGAAGCTGGCAGGTGAGCTCCAGGATCCCACCTTTCTATCCCGACCTTGGGATTACAAGTGTGCACTACCACTCTGTTTTAAAATGTGGTTTCTCAGGATCAAACTCGGGTCTCCATGCTTGCAAAGCCAGCACTTTATCCTGAAGTCATCTCCGAAGACCCTCCACACTGTGGTTTCTAGGAGTCTATTATGAGCTTATGAATAGCAATTGTGTTGAATTGTAGACATTAGTCAATACTTAATGTCTACTGTGCATCTCGTGCCCTTGTTTTCACAAGTCTTCCCGTTTAAAGAACCATGAGTTGTCAGTGTGTGTGTGTGTGTGTGTGTGTGTGTGTGTGTGTGTGTGTGTATTGCTGGGGATGGAATCCTACATCCCCAGCTTCTCTCTTTCCTATCCCAGGGCTGTTTCTCAGGCCTCTCCAGCCTCTGGCAGGTGATGCTGTTCGAGCTCCCCAACCCCTTCACTAGGATCAGAGCTGGCAGTGTGTGGGGCTCTGGGAGGGCCTGCCTGGGCACTGGTTCTGGTCCTCAGTGGTGCACAGGTTTGCAGGACAGTGCTGTTAGAAACACTGGGTTTAGGAGGGAAAGAAGAGCCTGGCAGAGCCCTCCTCGGTATTGTATGGTCTTTTTTATTATCAACTTTCAAAGTCCTCAGTGTAGGGGACCTCTGAGTTCCATACAGATAAGGAATAAGACTCAGTACTTGGGAAGAGCTCTGAGAAGCCAGCTCACCAAGGCTGCTTGAAAGTGGACAAAGCCCAGACCACTGAGTAGGTCTCCAGACCTGTAGCTAGGTATACATTCTTTGGGGATAGAAAATGTCCATAAGATTATTTCCTTCTTACATAGTAAAACCAGCTGACCTTTGTGTTTTGCTACAGTCTTAAAAGTAGCACTTTTGGGGGCACTTCCTCATGTTCACAGACTCAAAGCCACTCTGATTGTTGTGTACTATTATTGTACAGTGAGGCTGAATATAATCCACTTTGGAGAGTTTAGTTTCAAATAACTCCTTTAATAGCCTTTCTTGTTTATATATCTTTCTACATATGTGTTATATTATATAGGTTATATAGATCCTATTCTATATATAGGATATAGTATATAACCTATGTATTATAAAGGATAGAGGCTTGGACCGAGTGGTGCCTGTCTTGGTCCATGAATGTCAGCTTGCTCCTGGGAGATGCTCTTACTCTTCTGCTTTCTAATTGCTTCTAGAAGACTGGCAAGAACCCCTTTATTTCTTTCCTGAGGCACAACTTGGTTCCTCACAGGTTATCAGTGGACTAGGAGCCTGGTAGCATCTGTCAAAACTGCACAGAGAGGGTATGTGCACTCTGACTTGGGCGCCCGTCCCTCAACCACCTGGTTCTCTCTCTCTCTCTCTCTCTCTCTCTCTCTCTCTCTCCTGTCTGTCTGCCTCTCCCTCCCTCTCTTCTCCTTCTCTCTGTCTCTCCCTCTGCCTCTTCCTTCTCTCTTTCTCTCCCTTTGTCTCCCTCTCCTCTGTCTGCCTCTCCCTTCCTCTCTTCTCCCCCCTCTCTCTGTCTCTGTCTCCCCCTCTCTCCCCCGTCTGTCTCTCCCTTCCTCTCTTCTCTCTCTCTCTCCCTCCCTCTGTCTCCTTCTCCTTCTCTCTTCCACTCTCCATACTCTCTCTCCCTTCTCCTTCCTCTTTCTTTCTCTCCTTCCTTCCCTCCCTTTTTCTCTCTCTCTCTCCCCCTCTGCCTCTCTCTCCTTTCTTACTGAGTTGCTAGTGTTTGAACCTAGAACCTGGTGCATGCTAGACAAACATTTAGATATAATAATACACCTCTGAACTTCATTCCTCATCTATTTTTTTTTTTTATTTTGAGACAGAGTCTCACCAAGTTGCCCAGGCTGGCCTGAAACTCATTCTATAACCCAGGAAGTCTATAAATCTGCAGTCTTCATCCTGAGCAACTGGGTATAGGCCTGTGCTACCAGGTCTCACAGCCACTTGGATCTTATAGAGTCAAACAATTGCTGACAAAGTGTCCAGGAATCAACAGAGTGAAGATTTCAGATATTGTGTCTCTCAGAGTGTGGAAGCAACATGTAGAAAAGTCCCCTAGCATGAAAAGGCATAGGGTGACCTGGCTGCCACCTCACTGATGCCTGATACCGATACTGATGGGTTAGAGGGACTGTTGGCTCCCAGTGCCGACCTTTGGTGGCCAATGAGGGCAAGTTGGGGTTGTATAGGAGACTAAAGAGCTCTCTGACCCCTTCCTGCCCAGCCCCCCACTCTTCAAATGCCTGTTCTTCCCTTCCCCACTGCTAGTGACCTTTTTGAAAACAATTTTTTTGGATGAAGGAATTAGGTAGCACCCCTTCTTTCTGAATCAAAAGGGGTGATTTTGATCCCAACCCCAGCCCCAAGCCCTGCTGTCACTGGATCAAGGTCTTCTATAAAGGTTCCTTGTTTACAAGAGTCTGGGGTAGTAGGGAGGTGGCTCCTCTCCCTGGTGCCTGTCATTAACTGGGCTCCAGTGAGCTCACTCCAGGGACCTGTGAGCTGTGGAGAGTCTCCCAGGGGTCTTTAAGGTACTACGTAGCAAACCTCTTGCAATGGATCTGTAAGTAGCAAACAGAAGCTGGGGCAGCTAGAAGAGAGAAAGGCTCAAACAGGGCCAGGGCAGCTCAGGTGATGAGGTGATGGGCTCACCTGCAGCCTTGGGGTGTCCAAGAGGCCAAGGAGAAGGTCAACCGTAGAGGTACAGAGACAGTTCCAAACTTACTTCTAAATTCCTCAGTGGGATTCCAGTTTGTCCACATATGCACCTTGTGGGTCACATCGCTTTTGTTTCTGGTCCCACTTGGGACTTGCTTGAGGAGGTGTGTGGGTGACTCCAAGGATCCCTTTCTGTGATAAAAAGAATTACCCACCACCTCCAAAGCTGGGATGTGGATTGGGATAGTACTACATTGTAGAATAACCCCTCTTCCTACCCTAGGAGGAGCCAGTCCCCTTGAATGGGGACATAAGCCCCAACTGGAAGGCAGCATCACCAACCAAGTCCCCCATAGCAGCTTCCTAGTCTACACCAGAGGAGTCCACCCAGAAGCATCCCAGAGCAAGACTCAAAAGGACTGAACTGCTTTTTTTTTTTAAAGTAAATGTCTCAGTGCAGACCTTATCATATGGTTTTCATAATGATTGAGAGGGCTACAGGCTGTCCCCAGGGAAAAGTAGACTTGGAGTCGGCTGTTTATAGCTGACTCATCTAGCAGGAGGCCAGTGGCATAACCTTGACAGCTTGGTAACTTTCCTTGACTCAAGCAAGTCTCTGGTGCAGATATACTAGCCAAAGCATGCCCTGTGCAATGCAATGGGTTGCAGAGCTGATGGAGCCCTTTCCATCCTGGGTGACAGGAGCAGGGAAGTGAAATACATCCCCTCCTTGGCCCCATTTTTCAGATTGAGCAACTGAGCCACCACCTTGAGTAATTCTCAGGCATCCTGATACATAGTCCTCAACACCTCCAGCTTTCTCAGTTGCCTCCAGGGAAACAAAACTTCACCTATTGGCCTCCTCAGACACTAACCCTTTCCTTGCCACCGCACTGAGGGCAGAAGATCTCTGCACACCCATCTTCATACCCTGCCAAGGGGATTCAGAGAGGAGGGAGAGAATTCAGGGAGTTGCCAACTGATAAGACGATTTCCAACCCCCCTCAGCCACCACCCTGACAACAGGTCTGAGATGTTAATGCGTTCTGTGTGCTCACCCTAGCCAAGGCATTGGAGGGTGGATTGAAATGGCTTTTCTTCCTCTTTTTTTTTTTTTTTTTTGAGTGATGGAAAAGTCTCCAGTAATAGCAGAAGTTGGGAGATGGGGAAGGGGAGAGATGGGGGGCTGGGCTGGTGGTGTGTGCGCTCTCTGTAGACACTTGGAATCGCAGGTGTGGGAGCCACCTCCAAAACCATTCACTTGGACCTCACTTTTGGGGTTGGTCATTGCGAAGACCACGTAGAGCAAAGTTGGTCGCCGGGGTGTTTAAGATAATCTCCCCCCCCGACAGTCACTCAGGATACCTGAATCTCTACCACCAGGCAACAGGCTGGGGGCTAGCCTCGGGAACCTCCCTACCACACCCACTGCTCTGTAGTTGGGAACCCTACACACTGGTGGGGTTGGAAAAGGGGTCAAGAAGTCCCGGTTTATTAAGAGCCCCAGATCCATTCTCTATTCCTGTTCCTGGCCAATCAGGCCCCCAGCTTCAGGGGAGGCCCCTGAGTTTCCCTTCAGGACGCCCAGCTTTCTACATCTCTTGCACTGACGGTGGGGTAAGGAGCGAGAGGGGTGGAATGAGTGGGTTTTGGAGACCTGTGGCTACGGGGCTGACCGCAGGGCGTTAGCTTGAAGGGAAAGGTGGGGAAGGAGGCAGGGGAATCTTGGGGAGCCTTTTTTTGCCCAGTCCTCCTCTCTGGAAAAGCTCCGACTTGCTCAGAACGCGGGCCCTGGGCACCCTGCATCGGGAAAACTTACTGACAGTTGTCACCAGGGCAGTCGGGCGTTTCCCAAACTCAAGACCCCAGGAAGATCTGCCGCCAGAACAAATCTCTTGAGGGACAAAACACACCTGCCCTCATTGAGCCATGCCCCTGACCCCTTTGCCAACCTCAGGTCCCCGGGGATTAAGGGACCCAGAAGTTGGGATATTTACTGACCGTCTGCATCAAAGTGCTTCCAGATTTCCAGGAACTGGGATGCCGTCAGCTCGGCCAGGTGCAGGTAAGGGGGCTGCTGCTGCGGGCCAGCCATGGCGAGCC